AGGTGAAAAAGAAACAGTATTTATCTTGTCAATCCTGTGATTCTCATGCAAGGATTCATGTGCAGGCATTTATTGTGAGCACCTCGACTGCACTGTTTTCACTTTGTGGTGACTCGTGCCAGCCACGAATAAACAGAATGATCTGCAAAAGGCATTCATCATGTTTGAGAAACCATCCCAGCACTTCTGGTTCTCTGCATTGACCATTTCCCCTTCTGGGCAGAGTATAGCAGGTGTTTCATTGCCTATTGCCACTAACAAAGATTCAGTCATTCAGTTGGCGTACAAGGGGCAATTCCCCATGTGCATCACTGTGAAATTAATGAATGTGTTCACATAAATCAATTAGATAAACATTAATTTTGCAAGCAAATCATGTAACATTTGACTGTGTAATTTGCATCCATGCATGAACCAGCATTTTGCCCTGTTCAGGTTTCCTGTCTTGAAATTTGCTGCACAGGATCTTAGAATGCTGGCTATTCTTTAGACATTCACATTATCCAGACCTCGGGAGATAGTGGGATGTAGTGTGTGAAGGGTATGAATTCAAAACGCTCAACAAGAAACCCCTTGTGACCCTTCTGCAGTACAGACATGCTGTTGATGTGTAATCAAATGGTTCCTCAGCCTTAGAGAGCACTAATTGCTTTTTTTCTTGTGCATAAAATAAAAAAAGAAACAGAAAAACGGCCCTACAGTAATTGCTTTGTTAAATGATGTCAATCCACTGAAGTGAAAAGAATTCAGAATGCTCTCAGAAGTGTAATCAGCACAATGTTTTAGGAGGCAAAAAATGCTCAGTGTAGTTACATGAAATAAACAATGCAATATAGCTAGATTTTATCAAGCGTTTTCATGATTGTTGTGGAAACCATCAATCCGAGCAGGAACAGTTGATAGGAATTGATGAGCACACAAGCAATTGGATATGTAATGAGTAACATCTGAAATAACAGTGGATGGAAGAAGTGAATGGCACACACCTGGTATATAAAACTAACTATGACTTTGCCCCTCTAACCTGCAGGCCAGAAAAGTGTGCGTGTCACCAGCCTCCTGATCTGCCAGGGTCTGCTGTGGGTGGGTACTACCCAGGGCATCATCATCACGCTGCCTGTGCCCAAATTGGAGGGTATCCCCAAAATAACAGGTAAACCATGACCCTTGCTGGAAGCTTTTGGAAACTGAAGCAAAAACACTCTGCTATAGTGTCCTATGTGCAGTAATGTGCAATATTGTCCTAGTAGTCTCCTCCCACTGTTCAAAGATATACAGTACTGGTATGTTAAATGGTTTCTAGGAAAATTGGCCTTGGTGTGAGTGGGTGCATGTTTGGGTAGCCCTTTGATGGACTGGCATCCCATCCAGGACATTGCTTTCTGCGAAAGGCTTCAGCTCCCCTGTGACCATGTATTGGATGATTGGCTTAGAAAATGGATGGATGTAGCTAAACACAGAACATCTCGTGCATCATAAGCTCTCTTGGTAGAAAATAATGTTACTTTTACTGTAATCCTTATTAGGATGAAATACTGTAGCTGTGGATGGATGGATTACTTGGTGCCTAGTACTGGTAATAGATAATAATGAGATGGCCTTCTGATGCAATGGGGGACATGTGTGAAACCCTGTCACCTCTGCTGTCGCCCCTGCAGGCAAAGGGATGACCTCTCTGAATGCACACTGTGGACCTGTGGACTTCCTGGTGGCCACTTCCAGCACGCTGTCGCCAGAGCTGCTCAAAAAGGACTCCATGGAGGACGGCCAAGACGCGGCCAGCGGAGCAGAGGACAAGAGCGACTCCTCTTCCCAGGAGTCCCTGCACCAGGGCCACTCCTCCTCTTTCAGGGAGGCCAGGGGCAGGGGTCTCCTCTTGCGGTACCGCTTACGCTCCACCTCCCAGCTGCCCGGCAAGCCACTGACAGCCAAGGCCGAGGGGGCCTCCGACTCCTCGCTGGAGTCCCTGGAGCACAGCCTGGAAGACGGCTCCATCTACGAGCTGACGGACGACCCCGAGGTGTGGGTGCGGGGACGGTCCGCGGCCCGGGAGGGCGGGAGGAAGGAGAAAGTCACCTCGGCCGCCGTCATCTCCGGCGGGAGGGGGTTCCGCCGGCTGGGGGGCGTAGGGACAGCGGCCGCCAGCTCTGAGTCATCTGAGAGCACGCTTATGGTCTGGCAGCTCCCGCTCACTGTCTGAGTCGAGAAGGACAAGGTGGCATCTGCGAGTCGCGGCTTGAGAGTGGCCAAATCGTGCTGGGCCCTGATTTCCAGCACTCCCTCCATTAAACAATCAGAGAGAGCATTCTACATTGGGTATGAGTGGGTAGAGTTACAGGATCTCTGCCGTTCCTGCGACTGCTTTCCAATGCGCCAGTGCGGTCATTATCCAGTCAGGAGACTGTCAGCAAGGGAAATGATATCTCACTGAGGGTCATGCACAGGTTGTCCAGGAGCTTAACTGCTGTCAAAGCATCAATACGTTACACCCGGCTCCACTCCTGTGTGCGGTAAAAGAAATGCTTCATGTTGAAGAGAAGGCACACACCCTACCCTCTACCGGAAGAGTAAGAGATATTATGCCTTTTATAATGATGTCATGGTGCAAGAGGTTAAAGAGCAATGCGAAAGAATGGCCAACGTTATCAATGTATCTCAACTTTTAAACAGCGTCATGATAAAACAAGAATTGCTCTGCTCAGAAACTATTTATGAGAATTCCATCCTGACCTCCAGTGGCAATTCAGACTTTCTGAATTCCGACATTCTGAGCCTCCAACTTTTGGGAATCTTCTCCAGGTATCCTGTCCTTTTTCTCTTCTGATTTAGTTGGATCACGGACCTGTCAGTCTGTGAAAGCCAGCAGGATGTTATACTGTAGTTAAATCCCTTTTTGTCATTTGGTTTTTGCAAAGCCAACATCTCTGGAAGAAAGCAAACACAAAGCAAATCAGGTTTAATGGTACTGTGTGTCTTACTAATAATCTATTATTTTTGCACTTTGGACTCATTCCGCCAAGCTAAGAATACATATCTCTTGGTTGCAATGTGGTTTGAATTCAGCCTTTTGACTGCAGTTGTTTTAGTTCCCTAAGATAAGTTTGAACAACGTGTTGTATACAAAACAATATCTGAAAATGCCCTTATAGATATGAACAATGCTGGTCTAAAAGCATTAACAAAACAATGATTGCTTTGGCTGTTCCAACAAAGTGTTCTCTGTAAAATGTATAATTGAAACTTTAAACGTTTATCTTTGGCAAAGCAAGTCAATATGATTGTCTTTTCTAGAGATCAGCTACTGACCTGCAATCTCTTGCACTTTTTTTTAAATTGGAAACCAGCAGAGAGAAAACAGGGCAATAATGGTCTTTTCCAGGAAGACGAGGCTATTGCTGAGCTTTGTCTGGGCACTAATCCAGCTTCACATAAAAAATCTTAAATTCCCTTTGAACATTTTGAATAGATGGTATACTTTTCATTTTTTTTTCACAAAACTCCTTTCTATTAGTTCTTTAACATTTCAGTTTGTAAAGTGAAATTTCACATAAAGCACTATGGATGTTTTTTTAAAACACTCCCCAAAGTTCCAGACCAAGTTGTGAAATGCTCAAATCACGTGTATTTTTCTGCTAGTTAATTCTGTGTCTCGAGTGATATTATGTGTGTTCCACAGGAGTCTCTATTCCTTTTAAAAATACATTGCTGCTCAGAGTTTAGCAAAACACCATTTACTGAGCAACTGACGGAGAGAAGAGTATTGTTCATTTTTATTTCACTCTAATCCCACACACTTTGCATCCCAGAACAGAACACTGTCACCTTCGACAGTATGTATCTACTTCTCTCTCTATATGTATTACTTCACCAGGAAAGCTGTGCAGTAGGGAGGGTGTGTGTTTTGCCTGACCAACAAGGGATACCTGTGCAATAAATATATTTTTTCTCTAAGAAAAGTTATCTTATTCTTCTAATTATTGTAAGGGGTTTGAAAAAGTCCTATTACTTTTACACGCCTGTATAGCTGAGTATCTTGTCTTTAATAATTTGTTATAAACATTAATTACTGTAGGATGTTTCCCCCTTTGGTTTCATGACAGACTCCAAATTGCCCTCCTGGGAAAGTACGTGTATTGATAAATTAGAATAAGGTACATATTTTAACCACTGCAGACATTCTGGGGAAATAATGTGGTTTGAACATTTGCTGTAATTAGAAGAAAGTATCTTTGTGTACTAAAAAATCAAGATATTTAATAGAATAAGTATCCTAAGTATTGAAGAAGGCTGGTTGTCTTATACCATAGCACCCTCCATAGTTGTATGGCTGTCCTAGTGAATGTTGTGTGTTCCTAGAAGCAAATATTAATAAATTTAGGAATCAGAGTAAAGAAAGATTAATAGTACTGTTCTCTCTCCTATCTAATATCCAAGTACATGTTTTTTTTCCTAAATTCTGAAACTGCAAGAATGAACAGAAATAGTTTTGATAGCAATAGTTTTTGACACTTACTGATGTAACAGGGTCCTCTTTAACCTCAGCACTTTGGTCTCTATTTCTTTTCCCTGCAAGAATCATTGAGCAGGGTCTTCCAGAGAAATTTGAATGATCATACAAATATCTTTCAAAACAAGGAATCTTAACCAAATCAACAACAGAACCAATAAACCAAACTACCTATAAATGTGTAAATCCAAATACATGAGATTTTCTAAATCCAGTTATCAAACAGTAAATGTATCTTGATTTGATTAAGAATAATAAATACCAGTAATGATATTTTGCAGAATAACCTTTTGTGGAACAGCAATGCTTATTAATGATTAAACGAATTAGAAGATAAATGGGCAGAGTTTTAGAAGATGACAGGTCTGAATGGCTTTCTGCTGTGACAACTTACAGTATCACCCAAGTAACATAACAACATCATAACATAACATAACATAACAACATCATAACATAACATAACATAACATAACATAACATAACATAACTCTCCTCTCCTTTAATCTGTTGTTCATATTGCAGAGAACATTTAGGAGAAATTGACCAAAGAAAGTCATGACTTTAACCAAATAATACAGACAGTACTGTACAGTATGTGAGACCTACACGCATGTCAAAGAAAACCGTCAACATCTTAGCCTTCCAGTCCTGACTGGTAAAGTTCCAGACTGCGTTAGAATGCATGTGACTGCCTTTGTAATTCTGAAATCCGCTTCTCAATTTACTAAGATCACAGTGTTGTTCTTATAAACCCCACATACCAGATTTTGCTATTTCACTTTGCCTGTGAAAGATTTTGCCATTCATACATGCATACTCCTTTTCTACATTGTAAAGAGTTGCAGGCCTTACCCCTATTAATCAGGTTGTTCATTAAATTGTAGGACCTAGAGTGCATGTCCCGTACTGGGAACACAGACTCCAGTAAACTAACCCTGCAGCGTCCTCACCTCTGCAGTTAATACATTCTCAAGGTACAGTATTTTGAAGATTATTTTAAATACATGTGAATTAAAATTACATTTTGTTTACTGATCATTCATTGGTAAAACATCGATAGCAATAATTAGATCAGATACATTTTGATGCTAGAAGAGTGTATTGTAAACATTGGCTGTTGGTTGAAGCACTGGGGAAAGTTGGATAAAGAGCAGTAAAGCATGCAGAGGCATGAAAACAATGTGTGATCCAAACAATGGACAGCCATAACAAAGCCAAATAAATACTGAAGATGAGCTTCTTCAGACCATGGGAAAGCTTCATAAATGCCATTTAAATTATACTATGCCCTATATACTGTACATGTAACTATGCCCTACATAAAAGCTTAGAAGATCCACTGTAAAGTAGAAAATGTACATACTTGTAGTACAGGGAAATGTCCAGAGGTCTGTCCGAAGTCTATCCAGAAACTATCTTCCTGAAATAAGCAATGCCCTAGAAAAAATTGAAAACATGCACAAAAGCCTAAAATTATCTGGGGATTGGGTGATGCTGAAGTATTGTTGAATGAACAAAGTGGTTGTTTGTAACTGGTTTAATAGTAATAGGAATTTAAATTGCTGGCACTGTATTACTTGACCTGCTTGGTCACAACATTAATATCCGGGATTAAATTGTCAAGGGTGAATTTGCATTCTCTCAGTGATCACTAGGAATGTGAACACATGGACCTATATCTGAAATTTTGCTCACTTTGGTGGAAAATGATTTTAAATCACTAAAATCAAGCAATCACAAAAAGCAAGACAAAAACTAGAACAGTATAAACAGCATAAATGCAATATTAACAAATTAGCAGGGCATCTGAACCCATTCTTGTAATGTCATGTATTTTTGTTCAGAAATTGTATCAGTAAATGGGTTTTATGGACTTTTTGCACCATAGGGAAACTAAGACTGCCTCTGTGAATTCACTCACAGGTAGTCTACAGAATTTTAAAAGCTCTTTATTCAGCTGAATTGACAGAACAAACAGCTCCATTAACAGTCTATTTATTTATTTTACAATACGCAGATTCGTTTTGAGAACAATTCACAGCTCAGGTAAAGGACAAGCTATGGAAGACAAGGCAATGTTGCAAAACATATTAAGCTGGAGACTGTGGGCTAGATTCACACTAGTCACCCACATTGCTGAAGTGGCACCTTGGCTTCTTTCAAACAGCACCTGCATAAGATCCTTGTGTCATGCGCTCAGTCACGGGCTAGATGGGCTCATGCTGTTTGTAACCTTTGAAGTTTTACTAATTAAGTTTGCAACAAGCACAGCATTTTGGTTGCAGTTGGGATGAACTGTTTCATGAGGGAAGGTGATCATGATTATATTGGACCAGAGGCTGGCTGTACTGTAATAACTTCTCTTGCTCCATCTGAAATACAGGATCCTGTAGGTGTGTGATCCATTTTATAGGAAAATCCCAGCAGTCCTGCTAATCCTCCAGGGACTGTGTGGTTTTATAAGTTTGTGCTCTATCATACCTACAGTATTCTTGTAAAGTTGGTCTATTCAAAGAACTGTAGCTTGAAACCTACATCATGAAGCAATGCAATTTGGAAAGTGTTTATATAGAAGGGAGCTAAGGCGAAATATTGTATAAAGGCTGCAGTTTCAACCCAAGCACTGAGACTGTAATGTATGGAGTGCCACAATATGGATTATTCTGTTCCCCCTGGACAAAGTGTAGAATTTTGCTTTGTCTGGTAGAATGTGACTTAAAAAATGTTTTCTTTGAAAAATAAGCCTTTGATTTCAACTGTGGACTTGTAGACTTACACAGATTCTTAAATGAATTTGTACTGTACAGATATGCTGTATTGTGTTCTATTGTACATTCCATAAAGCTTACTCTAACAGAATGTCTCTTTTGTCTGTACGTGCTTTCCACTGTAAAAAAAAAAATACATCTAAATTGGTTTATGAACGTACTCATCTTTGGTGTTGTCAAAGTACTATTCAAGTCCTAACAGCTGTAAGTAGATGAGAACTTCATTAAAGCTCTACGAGACTAAGAGAGCAATATTTAGGAGTTGTATACAGTTTCTGCAACAGTAGAGCATACATGTGTGGCTCTGAACACCCTGTCCCCCCAAAGGTTCTGTATTCCAAAACCTGTTTATGTGTCTTTTAGCTTAAGTGGTTAGGCTGAAAAACACCTTTTCACTATGGCAAGCATTGGTAAATGGTAAAACATTTTCAATCGTGATAAATGCATAGCAAAAGCCATAGAAAGGGAGTGAATGACTGAATGAACAATATAAAATAAGCTGCAGCAGCCCCTGGCTGTCATACTGTATCATGGAGGCTCTTCCATAATGGAGAAATTGTAGTCTGGAAAACTTCATTTCTCCTCTTTGACAGCACACTGCACAACACTTCTGATGAAAATGACGAGAATCCACCTGGGATTCAGACTGAGGCTTGGATATAGATCTCAAACACCCAGAGATATGAGTTTTCCAAAGGGAGCAATTAGAGAAGAAAGCTTCTAACTCTCATGAATTGGGAAGGCATATCGCTTATGCTGCTGCAGTCTGTTTGCTTTAGTGTGCATGACAAGGGATGACATTCCTATTTTCTTCCAGGCATTCCTAGGTCTTGTTGCCCAGAAACTTCTCTGCAGGTGCAGTTGTGTCATCCCTATGAAAAGTTTTTCATATATTTAACAGGAGGCATGGGTGACGTGGTGCCAAAATCAGTGGTTGCATTTACACAGCTTCAGCTTAAAAGATGGTTATTTTAATACACTTCAATAGGCATCTACAGTCAGACTTTGTAGAAAAGCTGTCAGCAAGAACTGCAAGAGGGTACTTAAACTTTTATAATGACACATGCTGTATTGTGTGTTGGAACCTTCTAAAATATGAGCTTTAAATGTTTCAAAAATTCCTAAAAAAAGAATATAGAGATTAAGGAAATAGAATCAACTATGGACTAAAACTGAACAAGACAGATGTTGAAATGTTGATTAAAAATTGAGATTTTCTGCTTTTTACCATGTTGCTTCGCACTTAGAAGTAAAAAAAAAAAACGTTTTGAAATTTCTTTAAAATGTCAAAAGTAATTGCAACACACAAAGGCTTAAACAAAGTTTCATTTTTCCAAACCGCAGAAAATCTTTTTTATCCAGTGTTTTTTTTTAATTCTGACTTTTACCAACAAATCATGAGAAAAAGAAATGGTATTTTTGAGAGTCTTTTTTCTACCTTGAAAACAAATGCTGCATCTGTCCGTAAATACCATTTAAAATTCAGCCTTGACAGGGCTGGACTGGAATTTAAACTAACAATCTTCATTGTGCAAAAGAGCCCCAGTCAGTCAAAGCACTGAGCCTCTCACTCTCAGGCAATACTTCTCTGGTAAGACGCTATGGAACCCTTTCTCTAACTGTCTTCAAATGGCCGAGATGTAGGGTATGAGCTTCTTCAGTCATTCCTGACTTCCATCAAGCCCTTTCAACCCATTCCTTATGCTCAAGATTGCCAACAAAGGAAAACACTTATCTTTCAAAGCTTCTGATACTGCTCCGTGCTGCCAAGTTTCAACAAGAGTGTCGAGCATAGAGTTCATCACACTTTTACAAATGTCTAGACATGACTTGCTTTAACAACTACATTGCTGGCAAAAGTAAATGCTGGGACAAGTCACCAACACCAATTACATGTAAGTCCTTATAACTTTGCCCCATCTCTCTTTTGACTCTTTTCCCCACAGCTACTCCTAAGTTACTGAAATCTGTGACCTGCTCTTGAAACAGCAGGCTCTTTTTAAGATCTGTAAACACGATAAAATTGGACTGGAGACTTTAAGATGCTTTTTAGAGCCTTTCACTAGAAGAAAGTAAGGCATTATGGAGAATTCTTTGTACGCAGCATGTTCCAGGAACACCAGGTCACATATATATATGCAAAATTAACTTTGATGTGTGGTAATCAAGCTTTAGAAACATCAAGGAAAGGTTGTGTTCTGGGTTATAGAATAAAACAGTACTATAAGAATGAGAAAAGAGCTTTTGTCATGAACAATTACTCAGAAACTAAATGTTTTCAACTCATTCAATAGGAAAATGAATAGGCAATTCAGAAAGTGCTGTGAGATCTCTAAGGAGCAGGTTTTGTACTGTCCTCCCAGAATATTATATTGGTTCCCTAAGGCATCAGTAGCTGATAGAGTTTGTATGAGATGTGGTTAACTAACTTCCTGTCTCTTCCTACTAGTATTTTTTTTAATCCACCTGCTACTACCTGGACACCATTAAGTCTGTCTGAATAGATGCATTAGCCATGCCTGCTCTTGCTTTCATCAACACATGAAGCTAATACTGATCACGCTACGGTGTGGCCAGTATACAGCAAACTTATATCTCATTATCTCAACAGGAAAATGATCTTTCTTATTGTTGAACCCCTTTTCATAGGTTCTGCATGCTATTTTGATGTTCTTCTTTTTCGGACAAAGTGTAGAAGAAAAGTACAGTAGGGTCTTGACATTTGTGAGTGCTCAGTGCAGGGAACTATCATAAATAGCCACATTCACACATGCAGTAACAAAGTCCGCCCCTGCACTGTTGCATAAAGTACTACAGTATATGGTATGTATGGTTAAAATATATAAGTAACACTCCCTTGTATGATCATTAAAATACTAATGTATTGACTTCTTGTTAATTAAAATTATGTTGCTCAACTTAAACAAACTACAGTAATCAAAGACTTATCTTACACTAATCAGTTAAAACAACATGAATCCCTCCACGATATCTAGTGGATGCCTGCACTTTCTCTTTCTGCCTTTATCGCTATTTCCCTGCTCCATGATCATCACGCCCCAGTGTAACGTCAAGGAGCCTGTAAAGTCGTCTCCAGCCTGTCATTTCCCATGCTGCTGACACAGAACCCGGAGTCTTCATTACAATACAAAAGCTAGACCAGGCTGGGCTGTGGATGCTGGGTAGTGGGTGCCTGGGCAGGAGGAAGGGGCAAGCTCGCTCACTAGTACTGTAGATTTGTCTAACACGATCTTAGTCTTTCGTGGGGCTGATTTGAAAGTCCCTCTTGACAACCTTTCGCTATGTTTCATCCTACTCTGCTCCTTTTTTATCCAAGACCCTCTCAGCCAGACAGAAGAAAAAAGCAGCTTCTCAAATGTTAAATTTACAGATGTCAAGCCGTTACTATATATAAAATACTGCTACACTTTCCAAAAATTATATTAAACCCATATTCATAAAGTACATGATGTATGCTATCCAAAAACAGAACTTTGCAGTATGGCTCATTTATTTTTTAAATACATCTTAATACAGCTTCATCGTTGACAGTAGTTGACAGTAGTTTACTCAGGTTAATCACTTCACTATCAGCATCTACTGTATATTGATCAATGTTTGAATCCAGCACCTTATTGGACTGCAGGCAGAAAATCCCACTTTTCAATACAAACCCCATGCAATCCTCAAAGGTCAGGCACCTGAGCATAAAAGAATGACCGAGGGGGATTTTTGAAATCTTTTATTTAATTATTTTCCCTATTAAATAAGATTTCATCCATATTTGTATCCTAATACAGCTTTCTTCTTGTTGTGCCCACAGGAATGTTTTTCATGTCAGATAATCAGTGATAAGAAACACAAAGGGGATGCATGTTCTTTTTATGGCCCTGACACTTAATCGTCTCTGCTCGCTGCCACTGTCCTAATTTCACTAGGAATAACAACACCCAAGAACAAAGTGTCCTGAAAGGATTATGGAGTGTTTAGTGAAAATTTGGCTTAACTTGCTTGGCTGAGGGCTGACCTCCTGGCTAGGGGACGAGGAGGCTGGGACCCCTCTGCAGAGTGAGCAGTGACCAAGGGGCAGCTGCAGAGGGGGAGATGGGGATGGATGGGGAGGTGGGATGCAAAAGACATACTCGAGGGTGAGAGGGGGATCACATACAGTATTAATAGTGTTTCAGGAGAGGAAATGACATCGGGAGTGATTGCTAGTGACTGCTGGCCGAGTCTGATTGAACTGTTGTCATGCCTCCCAAACGTTTGTTACAAACTCCATTTCTACAAGAAAGGTAATGCATCCTAGAAAATCTGCCGTAAAGGTAATCATTATGAAACAAAGCATCAGATTTGAGGGGAGGAACAGAGGGGCAGCATGGTGGTGGAGAGGTCAGCATTGCTGCCTCGTAACACTGGGACCCTTGGTTCAATTCCTGGAATGCTGTCTGTGTGGAGTTTTTACTGTATGTTCATATGGCTTTCTTCCAGGTGCTCCAGTTTCCACCCACAGTAAAAGGCATACAGGTAGGTTAATTGGCTTTTGGGAAAACTGCCCAATTAACCTACCTGTTAACACCTGTTTGTGTGCTGGTTCTGTGACGGACTGGCTTCCTGTCCATGATGTATCCTGCTTTGCACCCGCTGCTTGATGGGATAGGCTCTATGTTAATCAGGGCACTGACTGCTGTCTACAGGAATTACAAAAAGATTATTAGGTTAAGTAATTTGACTAGGCTACCACATTAAGCTTTTGTGAAGTGAGGCTGTTTTGGCCTGTCACTTGTGTCTTTATTTCGAAAAACAATAACGTGTTCTAGTAATCTTATGGAAAAAGGAAATTATGAAGGGATGAGGCACAGTGATATCAGAGATAGCTTTCACTACTGTTCCGCTTATCATACCACAGTACAATAAACTCAAACACACTTTTCAATAATAAAAAACTTGTGAGGAGGGAAGGGAGGAAGAAAAGTGGAGGATCTTTTATCTAGTATTATGCCTTTGGGCACAAGAAATATTGCAGAGCAAGTGATGTAATGCAGTCTTGGTTTCTGGGGCATTTTTGTGAAGTGTTTATTAAACTACAAG